TCACAAGGAGATTGAGAAATACGCCAACGGTGACATGGACAATTCCTCGACCCCTCCTAGGACAGGTCACCCTGCTCCCGGAACGGCCAGCTGTCCTCTCTCTAATCCAGTCTGTGTTGGGCGGTGCCAAATGGGGATCTTCTCACTGACAGGGGGAGCCTCTAGGACGCAGCCTTAATTTTGCAGCTCCCTGTGGACCTGCAGGCCCCGCCTCCAAGGGGCTCCCACTGCCATCTGGTTCTCCCAGACTATTCATTTTCAGGGATGGCCTGGCCTGGCCACAGCCCGTCCATTTGGGACAATGGTTAGGAAGGGGTCCCACATCCTGAGTCCATATCCCACTGCACCTGGAACAGGTGTGTCACATGAAGCAGATATGCACCTCTCAGAGCTGTGGTTGCCTTCTGTCCTGGAAGAACCGTAGAGATTCCGAGGGGATGGCTGCAAGGAGTGGATGGACAAGTGAGGTCTTGACGGATGCAGGCAGCATCTGCTGTGCAGTGAGTGTGTGCTGGGCAGAGCTGCTGGCACGGGGTGAGTGTTAGCGGCAGGGGCAGGGTGATGGCCATCAGAAGCTGGGGAGTCATTCACCAGGCGGAGACCGGGGACACCCCCGAGGCCACAGACCTTTCCCAGAGCACCTTGTCACGGCTGGTCCGGTAGGTCAGAGGCTCCTCATGCGCTGAGTCAACCAAAGGGAACTCCCCAGAAGCTTCCCAGGCCAACTCAGCTCCTGCAAATTCTGTGGGGAATTTTCCTGTTGGTTTCCTCCCACTCTTCCCTCCCTTCCTTTTCTTCCTTTCTTTTTCCTTCCTCTCTCTTTCCCCTCCTTTCTTCTTTTTAAGATAAGATTAGAGAAACTTCAAAAAAATACGGTATCTAATATTAAGAAATTACTGTCATTGAAACCCCAATACCAAGGAGGGAACTACTACACACCCTGGTAGGCTTCTTCCCGGTTTTTTTCTGATTACACACAAGCACCTTCTTTTTAATTTTAATTTTATTTTTATAAAATGGGACTGTGCTGTCTGTCTCGTTCTGTTGATTCCTCAGTCAGCCTCAGGCTGTAAGTGTCTTTCCACGTTAGGCTTGTTGTGGCCACACTGTTGTCTCCGTGGCTACATGCTGTTCCCTTGTGTGGACAGACTATCATTTCTTTACCCGGTCAGAGGACAGCGGTGCTGCTTCCTCTTTTCTTTTATTAAACAACACGGCAAAGAGCATCTTTGCACAACCCTTGTACTTTATTGACACTTTCTTTAGGTAACTTCCTTTTGGTAGAATAGCCACAGCCCCCACGTGGATCTCTCTATATAATGCACAGGATGTCTCTCTCTTTCTGCTGTTTGAACCCTGCCCCCAATGGCTCTCCATTGCAACAGAGAACAAAACCTTTCTTCTTACCACGCAAGGTCACGTCTGCACCAGCCCTGCCCACTTCTGTGCCCTCTCTTGGCACATTGCTCCTCCTCAGCACATTGCACTTCCCTCACCAGCTTTCTCTCTGTTCCACGAACATGCCAAGGTCACTCTTACTGAGGGCCTTTGCTCCTGCTTTATCCAACCCTGGACGCTCCCAGATCCTCTATGGTCCTGTGGCTGGACCCCCCGCCCCCTTGTCATTCAGACATACACACAAAGGCCACAAGGAAGCATCCTTCTGTCTGCTGTCCTCCTCCCAGATCTGGTGTGATCCCGTTGTCCTGGGTTTTATTTCCCTCCCAGAACCCGCCTCTCTCTGAAATTATTGCCTACATATATTTAGCTGCTTATTCTCCCCCCAACCCCCGCAAGCTATAAATGTTATGAAGGGAAGAACCCCATTAGTTTTGCTAACACCATGTCCCCAACACCCAACCCAGTGCCTGGCACATAGTAGACATTCAGTCAACATTGGTCGAATGACAGACAAATTGCTGGGGTCAGCAGTTTGTTGAGAACTAATTGAGGGATTTTTAATACCCTTGATATGAAAATTGCTCAATATCTTTTATGAAAATTGCCTAGAAATGCTTTATCAATTTACACTCCCTTCCCATATGTATGGGAGTTACAAGCTAATCCAAAAATAGAATCAGAGGGCAAGATTTAGGAAACAAGGTTACCGTATAATTTCTCAAATCACACTCATTTCAAAATGCACAACTGTCGGCTTCCCCGGGGAGCCTGGTGCTCAGCGAATATTGAGGTGTGCACAAATGGACCCACTGAAGGTTCTGAGCAACCAAACGAGGCTGGTTGGGGGTGGCGGGGGGGATTCTCTGCCCATGGCAGTGCGTGGGCCACACTGGCATGGTGCAGTCAGCACGGTGACTCGTGTGCTAATGAACACACGCCAGTTCAGTGGGCCTGCTCTTGCCTCTGAGCGGGATGAGCTATTCAGTGGGACTGCTTGGTAGGTCCAGGAAGATGTCCAGGTGCCTTGGGGTACCTGTCTGGACGACAGCCTGATGGCCCCCTGGTCCCTGGGTTGTTTGGGGCCCTGGGAATGGGAGAACCCCCTGCCCCATCAGGAGCCAGAGGAGACCCAAACCCTGGTCATTTCCCCAGTGTGATTGGCCCACCGTGTGGAAGAGCCAGCTGCCTTATGGCTCCAGGTGGTTCTCCCAGACTCTTCATTTGGGCAAAGAATCCAGGGAAATCTGGAGGCCTGAGGAGGGCCTGCAATCTGAGCTCCCCAGAAACCAGCAGGGCAGCCGGGAGTAACCCAGCCCCTGTGTGGCCACTCTCCCTCTGAGTCGTCCGCTGGATGGCTGGCTCCCAGGCCACGGGGCCAAGCATCTTGCTCTTTCTGAGCCCTTGGCCTTCCCTCACGGCTCCAGCTCGCCAAGGACTCCTATCGGATCCACATTTCAAAAGTTCAATCCCAGGGTAGCCAAAAGCCTGGACTTGCCATGGGGAAAGGGGAAAAGGGGAGGAATTCCCAGCAGCCTGTTCCCGGAGGATCCCTGACCTTGCGAATAGCCCGAGAGGGCGAGGCCAGCTCTCCTAGTCCAACAGTTTCCATTCTGGAGGGGGTTCTCTGAGGAAGTCATGCTTGGATCATGCTGGGCTTTCATCTTACACTCCAACGCATTCATAATGAGCAAAATGCAAATTTAAACTGTTTGGATGCCATTCCCCAGATTAGATCGGCTGAGAACCCAACGCTGGATGATTTGCTTGGTTGATAGGAGTTGTCTTGATGGAGGGCAATTCGAAGAGCTTCCAAAATTACAAATGCCCACAACCTTTGGTCCAACCATTTCACCTCCAGGAGCCTGTCCACAGGCTCCCTCCTACATATGTAAAAAGCCATGGATAAGGTTGTTCTCCTTAGCACTGTTTGCAAAAGCAAGAGATTAGAAATAACTAAATACCTATTTAAAAGGACTGTTACCTATAGTGTAATACTTCAATAGAACAGAAGACTATGCAGTTGAATAAAAAGCCCGAGAAAGGTCTCTATGGGCAGACAGCCACCAGCAATGACTGGAAGACAGTAGCACCCCTCAGGGATTGCTGGTGGGAATGTAATAGGTGCAGCCGCTGTGGAAAACCAGTTTTTAAGAAATTTTTACAGAAATTTTTTAACAATTTTTTAAGAAATTGGAGAGGCCATTTAACATACAGCCCAGCAATTTTGCATATAATTTTCCACCCAAAAGAACTGAAAACCAATGCCCACACAAGCACTTGTCTCTGCATCCACTCTATCAGTTCATTTTGTTAATTAGATTCCACTTGAGATCACATGATACTTGTCTTTCTCTGACTGACATGTTTCACTTAGATAGCAGCATTATTTATAATAATTGAAGGTGGAATCTAAATGTCTATCAACTGAAGAATGGGTACGCAAAAGTGGTAAATCCACAAAATGGAATATTAAGTGGCAATAAAAAGGAATGAAGTACCGACTCTGCTACAACATGGATGAACCTCAAAAACTTTATGCTAGGTGAAATAAGCCACCCACAAAAGGCCACATAGTGTAGGATTCAATTTCCATGAAATGTCCAGAATAGGCAAATCCATGGAGAGAGAAGTTCCCAGGGGCTGAGAGGAGGGGAATCTATAATAATAAAAGTAGAATATGTTAATTAGTCCAGATAGCTGAACAACCTTCTGGACATTATTCCTGACAAAGCCGTGGTGGCAGGGGCCAAGGCAGAGGTGGTTAGGGGCCATCAGGCAGGCAGGCAAGCAGTTAGGGGCAATCAGGCAGGCAGAGTGGTAAGGGGCGATCAGGCAGGCAGGTGAGTGGTTAGAAGCCAGCAGCCCAGGATTGCGCGAGAGGGATGTCCAACTGCCAGTTTAAACCAGCAATCGGACATTCTCCAAGGGGTCCCAGATTGCAAGAGGGTACAGATTTGGCTGAAAGACCCCCCTCCCTATGCACGAATTTTGTGTACCAGGCCTCTAGTTGATTATAAATGGGCATGAAAGATCTTTGGGGTGGGTGGGTGGGTGATTGTAATGATTTAAAATTAGATTGTGAGATGATTGCACAATCTCCTCGCCTGCAAAATGGGACACATAATGGTACATACTTGGGGAGGAAGGTAAAAAGGCGTATGCAAAGTACTTTGCACAGTGCTCGGCACAAAATCCGAGTGCATTCGGTGTGCCCATTTTAATGACAGCAGCACATGCATTATTGTTACAATGCCAACTGGTTAATCGGTCAGCCAGATGGCCCCTCTTTGGGTTGACAGATGTTAGCAAAAACCAGGCAGGAGTTTTGGAGGGTGAATTCAATTCAGACAGACTGGGGCCAGTAAGTCCCAGAGTTAAAAGAAAATAACTTAACAACCCTGACCTAGATTCAGACCCAGGCAAAGAGAATGGAATTCGCCAGCTGTTCCTGGCCGGGGCGGACTCTTGTTTCCAGCAGCTGTGGAGAAGCGTCCCTCCGCCATGGTCCTTCCCCCACGGGGACACGAGGGACACCCAGCCCAGGCCCCGGTGGAAGTCCACCCTTCCGCAGATAACACGCCCTCCCCTTTCTTTTGCAGCTTGGAGGCGGCTCGGGACGGAAAGGCCTTCCGGATCTTTGCTGTCAGGCCCTGAACGTGCAGTGCCGGGGCGAAGGGGGTCTTCCAGAGGGCGTCTGGGTTTTGCTTTTTGTTTTTATTTTATCATTTGGGGGTGGGCTGGGGACATGGAGTGGCAGGAAGCTTCCTTTGAGTGAGTGGTGTTCGGTGTCACATCCTTGGTGCCTTGATTTCATCTCCGGGCCGTGGAGACACAGCATCCTCTGGGGCCTGGCCGGACAGCTGGCGACTGGTGCTGCCGAGGCCTCGCGGCCTCCATCCGCTGCCCGCTCTGCTCAGACAGTCGCTCAAGAGGGTCCTCCTCATGTAGTCTCCTGGGGAGAGAGGATTCCAAACGCGTGGAGAGAGCACCGTTCTTGGGGATCCCGGGGTGCGGCCTCCAGGGGTGCAGGAAGAGGCAGACTGAGCCCACGCAAGGGGAGTTTCAGGAATGGGGTAGAAGGTAGTTATTTAAAAAAAAAATTTTTTTTTAAAACACAGTCCGTTCATATCAATGGAGAAAAATGAGTTTAGTGTTTGCTGGTCAGACAAATGGGCCGGAACAGGGGGCTGGGGAAGCGAGACTCAGGCTCTGCCTTGGCAACTGTCCCGGCTGGCGTCCTGCCATGAGCAGGCAGATTCTATATACAGCAGTGCTGGTTTATTTAGAGTTCAATAGTAACTCCAGAGGTTTATCTTGTCTTTGTCCTTCCTTTCGCCCATGTGGCCGTCCGCTGTCCTGACGTTTGGTCTCGTTGAGGACTAATGAACCAGGATCCTTTCTTTACCCCCTCCCCATTGTGGCTCACACACCGGCCCAGACTAGTTTAGGTGTCATAGTTCACAACGGGGTATTTGCTTTGCAAGGGATTCTGTTTGAAGCCCACTTTTTTTTTTTTTTAACTCCTCATCTCTGTTGGTTTCACCGAGATAGCTAAGAACAGCCGAAGAAGAGGTGTTTGGTTGCTGCTTTTAAAAAAATGACAATTAAACGTGCAGATTTGCCGTCTGTCTGGTGACCTACTTTTTAGCAGTGGGAGGAGTGGATTCCTTGGTACCTTCTTCGCCGAGGTTAGCAGCGCTGGGAAGAGGAACAGCCTGTGGTTATGAAATGGTCCTGCGGCCTCATAACCACAAGAGAGAGTAACACTCGAGAAGGATTCCTCTTCCTGTTTTTGTGGAGCAGCTCTTGCCAAATGTTCCTGAGACTCCGAGGAGTGCGGTGCTCTCTGGCTTCCTTCACTTTACAAACGTTCTTCATGAGCCCAGACCGAAACCCACAGTGAAATAAAATACCCTTTTGTAAACAGTGTTTCTTTGCAGAAGGTAAAATTCCACCCTCCAGCGTCAGGCTGGCCAATAGATCACTTCGGTGGACACCAGTTTCAAATTTGATTTCACTCCCCATCAAAATATTTCAAAGGGAAAGGAATCACCAGAAAACACACACACACACACACATACACACACACACAACTGGTGCTTTGAGTTCATTCCTAATCAATGCAAAAACAGAAGGGGAACGGTTTTCCCCTCTCCCCTCTGGAATGAAGCTCTTTGCTGAATGGCGCTGAGATCTGCGGGACCATGCTTTTGCTGTGTGCATTGTGGGTTGGGAGTAATGCGTAGGTCCTGACTGTTGGACCCCAGATGTCAGAGTGAGGGAATTTGGCCAGCCTGTCAGATATTGTGTCTGGTTCCCTGCAAAGGCCTGAGTCCTTGGGAACTTTGGGTGTTACCTGCTCAGCTGTTGGACTCCCACTTGTCCGTCACCAGCCTTTGGTGGCCGTGGCCGTGGCTGTGCTCTGTCCCACCTGCCAGGTTGAGATTTCAGAATGAGTGACAGCCCAGGGGGCTCTCCGTGGCTTTGCTTTTGAAGCCGTCCGCCCGTCCGAGGCAGAACCTGAGGTTTCTGGAGGAAGCAGACCTCGTCCCTGTAGATCATGCTCCCAGGTCCCCGAGGGGCCTCCGTGAGTGGGCTCACCGCTCCAGCAGCCTGCCCAGAGCCAGACCTTGTGTCTTTTTCATCCTCACGAACATTTTGAAACTGGAACCATTTTTCCTTCTGAAAATGAAAACCAAGACCACAAATGATAAGCCCTTGGAATCAGGGGCTACCTCTAATTGTGTGTTTCGAGGTGCTCCCTGATTACACCCATTGTGCCATCGGCACTTACCCCATAAAGAGATGGTGAACCAGGCCAACAGGGTTTCTGGGAGTCCTGCCCCCCGCCATGAAAAGCTCCGGTTCCCTCCGGATTTCTGTCCCCCTGTGTTCTGAGATTTCATACCGTCTGTAGGCTCACTCGGCCCGCAGCTTACATGTGTGCTTTTTTTCTATGAAAAATGATGTATTTTACTACTTCCTATGTACAAACGTTTACTGTAAAGAAAAAAATTATTTTGTGCTTTGCATGAACAGGGACCACATTGCTATTGTTTCAATAAAACTGGTTTGATTTCTAAAACATCCCTGTGACGCCTCTTTTATGGAGAAATCGGGACAGTCTGTGAAGTGCCGCTGCTGAAACCTCCCCGCAGGCGGTTACCTGCTCTGTGTGTGCGCGGCTTCTTCCGGGAAGGAGCGTGGTGACCGGGCGTTTCCGGAGGCTCTGGGAGACCTCCACCTGATAAGCAGGAAAAGGTGTGGCTTCACGTCTGTGAAATCGCGCTGGGTGGGGAGACTTGTCTAATTCAGATTGTGGTCCAGCTGTTGTGCAGGGGGCCCGGAGTCTGCATTCCTCGGGAGCTCCTGGTGAGGCTGGCATGCTGATCCCAGTCCGACTCTGAGAGTCTCAGGAGTCCGAGGAGGTGCTTCTGGGGCGTTAGCTCAGGGAGCTCAGGACACCCCGGCGGCCTCTCCCCAGCCTCTCCCCTCCCCTGTGGTCATGGCCGGGCCACAGCTGTGCCCACACACGGATGTGAGACAGGAAGACGGGTGGCAGTGGAAGGACTTCCTCCCACGCGCTCTCTCTTTAATCAGGGAAGGACATCTTTCCTGATGTCACACAGTAGGCCTGTTTTGAAATCCCTTTCCTCATAAACAACCACATGTCTATTCCCAGATCTGTCACAAGGGACTGTTGACAGAACAGGAAGGTTTGGAGTGGGAAGAGGGGAACCAGGGGCCAGGAGCCCTGCCTTTACACAAAGATGTGCTCTCGTAGGAGGAGGTGTGATGTGAGTGAAGAGGCGGAACTCAGACACGCCTGAGCTTGGACCCCAGCTCAGTGCTTTCCTTGCTGTGTGCTGCCGGGCAAGTAGCTGAACCTCTCTGAGCCTCGGGGTCCTCCTCCACAAAAGGGTGAGGATAGCAGTGTCACCTCTGCAGGGTGGTCCTGTGGACCGAATGGGGTCAAACCTGAGACATGCTCAGTCCTTCGCGTGCGCACACAGCTGACGCAGATGGTCACTCCCGTGGTTTTTGCAGAACTGATGCCAATGATAGCGTGTCCCAGGGAGGCCGGTTTGGAGTCGGCAGCTCGATGGGCATGAGCAGAGTAGGGCCGATGGGCCAGGTGCAGAGTGTTACCAGGATGGAGACCCCCAGATGCCTAGCAACGGACACAGCAGCAAGCCCTTGCAGGACCACACCTTCAGCATTGACACACCTAGGCCTCAGCTGCGTTTCCGCTCCAGGCCCAGAGAAGCAGCAAAACCAGGCAGAGTACAGCCATGGCTGACATCAGGACCGGCTACAGGGATCAATGACCCGCTCCCTGGAGCCGGCCAATCAGCAGAAAGCACAATTCTGAGGGGACACACTTGGAAAGCTGATGAATATTCTATGGAGATCCGCCCCTGAGACCTCAGTTAGAAGCCCTCAAGACAAGGACCCAGCAGGGCTTCCTCTCTCCCTTTCCTTCTCCCATTCTCTCCCTCTCCCTCTCTCCCTCTCTCCCTCTCTCCCTCTCTCCCTCTTCCTCTTTCCATCTTCCTCTCTTCCTCTTTCACTCTCCTTCTCTCCCTCTCTTCCTCTCCCTCTCCCTCTCTCTCTTTCTCTCTCCCTCTCCCTCTCTCTCCCTCTCTCTCTCTCTCTTTCTCTCTCTCCCTTTCCCTCTCTTCCTCTTTCCCTCTCCCTCTCTTCCTCTTTCACTCTCCCTCTCTTCCTCTTTCACTCTCCCTCTCTCCCTCTCTTCCTCTCCCCCCCCTCTCTCCCTCCCCCCTCTCTCTCCCTCTTTCCCTCTCTCCCTCTCTCTCTCTCCCTCTCCCTCTCTCCTTTCTCCCTCTCTCCCTCTCTCCTTCTCCCTCTCTTCCTCTCTCTATCTCTCTCTCTCTTCCTCTCTCTCTCTCCCCCTCTCCCTCTCCCCTCAGCTCCAAGAGCCCTTCTTTTGCTATGACTTGTTTCCTTAGCCCATTTCTTTTACAGCTCACTTCTTCTATCTCTGTGACTTTTTCTTATTGTTGAAAGTATTACATACGCCCGCCCCCCTCTCCCCCCCCCCCCCCCCCGCTTGACCCTTTCTGGCCTGCCCCACCCCCCTACCTCTGTGACTTTCTAAATAAACGTTCTCTTATCATTTGAGTCTTAGCTCGGAACTCTTCTCTTAGCGGGAACTCAAGGCAGAGAGGAGGTTAACACCTGGTGCCTTTTCTCCGCCACTAACGCTGTAATTGACAGAACTGTCCAAAGATGAAATGGCTCATGGGAACAGGGAGTGAGCTTCCCGTCTCTGGAAGGACACAACGGAAGGTAAAAGAATCTTGGACTAGATCGACTTTAAGGCTTTCCCTCATCAGTCCTGCCCAGAAGAGCCGGGGAACCCAGGGCAGGGGTGACATGGAGCTATTGAATTCTGGGTCCTCAAGTCATGGCAGCTTCATCCCATAAAAGAAAATAAATAAACAAACCCCTCAGCCATGTAGGTGGTCCCGAAGTTGCTATGTTTTAGTGGGTTGATTTTTGTTTGTACATTTATCCACCTTCCTTCCAATTTTTCACCCCAAGCCCAAACCTGTCCTAATCTCTTAGGCCTTAAAAAAATCTTTTAGACCCTTAAAAAAATAAACCTGGTGCCAAAGGTGCAGGTTTTGAAA